ATTTTTAAAGCTGTCCTTTCTTCCTTCATTGGTGAGCCCAATTACAGAGCCATGATGAGACTATAAATTCTTAATATTGTTCCCTTGGCAATTTATACTCGTGCAGCATTTTCTTAGGTAGAACCATATTATGGAAGCAATAACACTTTCACCAGCACATGCACAAATGGATCATGGCTTATGTATTCTGGTTGAGCTGGCAAAGTCTCAAGAAATTAATTCCGTCCATGAGCAACTCCTTGCGACCTACTAATATAAAAGCCTACATCATAAAAATGCAATAGATAGAGACCAGCTTAGCTTGATAACTTCCTTTTACTGCTTTAAATTTCTATTGCTGAAGCTGGAAATACTGAACTCATAAAGTAGCAAGAAAGAAATGTTTTCTGGGTATTGCATTAAAGACAGGATGTACCCATAAAGCATGGGTGGAATTAGTTCTTGCGCTAGTTACCTCTTCCTTAGCTTACAGTATTAGATGTCTGCTGATATAATTCTGGATATAAGGCACCAGAGAACAGAAGTCCATAATTAAGAGAATTAAGAGAGTTGTGCAACCACTGAGATGCCATTTACTGTCTCTCTGTGCCCCCCTTACCCCAAGTTGTCTGGTCCCCAGGACAGGGAAGCACAGGTCAGACAAGGGCTATGTAAATCACACAGCATTGCTCCAGTCAGCCCTATTTATAAAAGGCTACTACAGACTCACTCCCCCTTCTCTGAAATGGAAGTACCTCCCACTCAGATGATATAGCTAGCTTGTATTTGGCACTTCTGTATTTGGGCTGCTTAGTCCTGGGTCCACCACCATGGTTTCTTGCTCTGCTCTGGATTTCAGTTTGTATTTCTGCACCTGCAGTAACACCCCTCCATAGCTCATAGAGAAGATACACATGCAAACATGCAACACATTAGGGGCGATGCAACTGAGTGTATAAGCAGCCTGGTCTCGGTGCAGGGGAAAGCCATCTCAGGACAGCCCAGAACGACGTTAGGCTGGAGACTTCCTGGGGCTGTAAGGAAACATACACCTTTTGTCTAGACGCCGTAACTTGCTGCTGTCCACAGATGGCGTCTAGAAGCCAGATAATAAAATCCCATGACATAAATCCATTGTAGCTCCTGGCAAGTGTTGTCTAGAGAAAGAGCAAGTGGCAGCACACACTCTCTGGGCAGCTCTTCCACCAGGCACAGCAGCATTTGTCCCTAAGCCCGCTGCAGGCCACCCTCACGGATATCTGACTCGGGCACAGACTAGCACAGAATCACACACAGAATCACAGAATTTCTAGGTTGGAAGAGACCTCAAGATCATGGAGTCCAACCTCTGACCTAACACTAACAGTCCCCACTAAACCATACACAGTCTCCTGTCACAGCCAGAGCCAACATCAGGTATCTCACAGCCCAGTGATGTTTGCGTGTCTGAAACTATTCCAACCTCTACCCTCAAGTGAGCTCATTTATCTTTGCAATTCAGCTACCACTGTTCAGTGACCTGGTCATGCTTTATGAACTACTGACCCTGAACAAAAGTTATGAGATAACACAGTGAAGAGCAGATTGCATGAAAAATGCTTGGGATTACAGCTAAATAACATAAAGCAGTTTGAGTTCCCTTCCCAACACTTGCTGATTGTGTGTATTACACCAACACCAAGTTCTCACATGTGCCATCCCATTGTGTTCAGCCTTAGAAGTGCAATTAGTAAAGAGAGCCCATAAAGGAATTGCCAATGTGATGGACAGATTCTCCAGTCCTTAATTATACTATTTACTGTTGCCTTTATTTATGCTATTTATCTCATGAGTGAAGATAACACTAAAGTGATGGTATGATTAAGACAGAAGGTAAGAATTATTTTAACAAATGCCAGGAATCGGAAATGGAAGAGAAGATTTATCAGCCTTAGCCCATCTGGTTATGAATGCATCCCTTCAAGCCATATAAACAGACATAAACAAACACGCAAATGAGAAGTCTCTGAGTTTCTGCAGTTATCATCATGTTAAAATTACCAGGTGGGTGCTTACCCCAGGCCTCCCCGCAGCTCAGGAAGGAGGATGCCAAAAGGACAAGACAGTGGAATGGAGTTTGGGGAAGGATGAAACCCTTTCAAGTCTCTCCTTGAGCCAAGTTCCCAAGCATGGTGGCAACAAGGCAAATGTTACCACTGTTCATCAGCTTGGTTAACTACATATTCCCCATAAGAACATCATATCACTCCCAATTACTTTTTAGTTTATTGCCATAGAGGCAAGGATATTAATCTTGCTCTATGCAAGAGATCTTACGTTTCCTTTCAGGACATTTGAAAGTATGGCTTTTAGTTTAACAACACATTTTTATTCTCAGCATGTTGCTTCTTCCCTGCCAATATTTCAGCTTCATCACTAATTCATGAACCATCACTCTGGTGAGAAACAGCCCTAGACTAAGAAAAAGCATTCCTACATTTATATGTCTCTGTTTGTGAAATATACTACTTTTCTTTTTAACAAGTGTTGTGCTTTTTTTTTTTTTTTTTTTTTAATTCTGAAAAATGATCATAAATTAGATTTACATTTTTATGGCCAACAGAGAATTTGGTGCATAGAGTGCAGATGTAAGCTAGATAGAATGGCAATACATCAAAAGCTTGTCGGTCTTCCTTTACATGCATAGAAGACTGTAGTGGGATTTTCAAAGCACCGTGGAGAGTACCCAGCATTCACTGAAACCCTGCAATATCATAGGAAACCTGGCTCTCCATGAAAAGAAACTAGAACAAATTACACACCAAAACTCTTCTTTCACATGAAATGTAATGCACATAACAAGGGTAGATAAAGCTATGAGCACAATGTGAAGGGATTTATTTGTGGGGGGAGCTGTCTTTTTGTGTGTGTGTATTGCCAAGAGATAGCTGCGATACCATCACTGTAAAATTAAGTGTAATCATTCCTCAACAACAATTTATTTCTTAGCTAGAATGCAATATTATCCCTTCTGCTCTCCAATTCTGCAATGGCTGTTTGACAGAACTTTTTCCTAATGCAGGCTCGTCTGTTCATATTATGCTTTCTGGTATGATATGAGAGCAATCCTTCCCAGAGGGCAGCTCACCATCACCATTCTGCCTTCTTAGCAAGCATTAACCCTAAGTTACCCCAGGGTCCTTCTGGCCCTAACATTATAAATTATTTCTTAAAGAGAACTGCAAACACATTCAAGGGGAGGGCATTAAAAAAGTTATATGCCCAACACCCCCAGGTATGGGACCACGACTAGAGAATAAAACAGCAGAGTAAAATCCCTTCTCTCATGCTGAACATTACAGAGGTGTAATACCAGTGTAACTCCACAAACAAGAGAACAGGATGACACAACAGCAAATTAATTGAAAAATCTTTTAAATATCAAGAAACTGAAAAAAACGAACAGACAAAAAAAAACTAAAAATTAAAACCTGCTTCTCTTGAGAGGGTAAAATCTCTTGTTTTTGACTAGTTTGCATTAACCTGCCTGCGTTATTCATGCCTTTTCTGTTACTTTTAGACTAGTTCTGCATGGAGCAGAATAACAAAAAAACAGGATGGGAATTTTTCTATAGTCAGATTCTCTGCTCCAACCAACACTGGTGGAAGGATGATCAAGTATCCACCAACTGTAAGACACAGAAGTGTTGCTAAACATAAAACAACCATGCCACACATCAGTGAAAGATTCTCCTTATGACAGGAGTAAGGGGATCAAGGAAATCTTTATGGAAACTCTAGACAGATGGAAGAAAGGCATGAGAAGAAAGCCAGCTTGTGTAAGTTGACTTCATGGGGACTTTGAGCTGGTCAGAGGTTTGTAAAGTTTATACTACAAAACCGAGAAGACTCAGGAGAAATTTGTGACAGGTCTTCCTAAGTTATTGGAATATGTTGCCAAATTTGTAGGCAAGAGCATGAAGATGAACATGAAGATGCCCATAAGTTATAGGCAAAACATTACAGTCTCTGAGTATCTGAGAATGCTTTGGCTGCTTCACCACCTACCACAGCAATAGATTTAATTATCATGTCACCAAACATGGTACACTGAATGTGTTGTTCACAGGGAGGTGGTGATGAAGAGTGGGTGAAACTGGCACAGGCAAGAGGAAAAAAATAATTTGGATGGAAAATGAGTAATTGTAGAGCTCCCACACAAAACCACCCCAGATGTTCTGGGGAATTTCAAATCTTTTCATTATGGAAACCCAACTATAATCCACAAAGAGAGGAGGCTCCTTCCCTACAACAGGAGTAACTGTGGTTGTCACAACTGCATGACACCAAAGAAAGACAAGAGACATGCAAGGTTTGTTTTTTTGGACTGATTTGTTTCCTTTTTAACTTATGGCATGCATTTTACCTGACCTTCTAATATAATATAGATTTAACAGATTCCGAGATGCCATTGAGTGTCTTTGACAAAGAGCAGAGACTGTCCCTGGAAGGAGCTGAAAGGATGGGAATAAAACAAGGAGGTTCCTGCTACTGCAGAATAATATTACTCCACAGACCGGGTGGTGCAATCACAGCTGTAATAATGATCACATGAGTGATCTGTGTCCGAAATGACAATTAAACTGGTAGCACACCAAAACAGGCAATGTGACATCAGTAGTACAGCTGGCATCTTTCAAAGCAGGGACTATTTACAGGCCTCTGGAGCCAGGATGTGATCAGGCTCTTCCATTTTGACTGCAATAGCATGTGAAAAGCATATGGAAGCTGACTGGAGAAAAACACAGTTGCATGCAGGAGAGCACAGTACCCTGAGACTGTGCAGTAAAAAAATTGCCACAATAGTGCAGGGAGAACGTCAACGGACCTTAGAATATACTGAAACCTGGGATAGTTTACACAACTGCAGTGTGCTCTGTAACAACTATTGGAGGATCAGGTATGCCCCTGTGACTGGTTTCAGTGCAAGTGTATACATACCTCTCTGCCCCGACACCTCCGTTAGTTAATAGGAGCGTTACCTTGTTCACACCATCTGCCATCGCTTGCAGTGTTAGCTCTCTAGGTCCATCCACGGTCTTTCCATTATCAGTTGGTCCCCAGCTGGCACTGTATATATCTATGACTTGGGGCATATGACTGATAGAGGAAGCCTCAATAATGTCTGTCATAAAGGGCTGGTCGAGCATTCGAATACCTGTGGATTTAATCAGCATAAGCATGAATTATGCATTGCCCAGGGCAAGATGAAAGCTCAGCACCTGGATAAGTCCCCCACTTACAGGTATTTTCATGCATTCAGCAATTCTGCACTTGTCATTCACTTTTCACCAGGGTGTGTTTACCCAGCAGGATGCTAGCACTTAAACATCCAGCTGCAGCAATGCAGCGTGGTTCAGAAAGAGAAAACTCCTTACTGCTGATTACAGAGTATCGTTCACCTACTATTTGAAAACATTTGTGTTCAGCAATCTCACTTTTAATATTATTTAAATATTATAAAATGCTATTTAAGTCATAGTTTATAACAACTAAGGATAAGGATTACCACCACCACTCAACGTCCTGCAATTTATACTCAGTGATGTGTTGACACTTCGTTTGTTTTTCAAGTCATTTTTCTGTTTATTTTGGTTCTTCTCCAGAATTTAATCAGGAATGGAAAAGACAGTAGACAATGATTTCCTGGAAAACTATTGATGTCTCAACATGCAGACACAATAGTAAAGCATGGCCAATATTTGTAGGAAAAAAAATATAAATAAATAAAACCTGCTTCCTATAACCTATGTCGCAGTAGAAATTGAGTTAGAGTTTAAGTGATATGATCCAAGGGCATGTCAACTTCATAAGACATTGGAGAGCTGGCTGTAAGCAAGACAGAGTGTATGACAAAACCAGCAGTGCAAGGCCCTGCATCCATCATACCCCTCACAGGCCAGCTGCACTGCCAGCCAACCTCTTGGCCTTTGGATGAGACACGTGTAACCAGAGACATATTCCAAAGAGATGTGACAGAAATCAATGCCATAGAGCCCCACAGTGTGCACGGCAGTGGGGAGCCCAGTGTACAAGCCAGTGCTTTCACGGTATTCCATACAAAATCTGCGTGCCAAATATGAGGCTGGGAAGAGTGGTGTTTGCCAAACAGGCATGGTATAAACTTCAAATGGAAAATTGACCAAAGCTGGATAATTCCTGATCTTCTAATTCAAGCTAGAAATTATTAAGTGAACCTCAATGGCTGAGAAATCCCCTGACATGCTTGTAAAATGGAGGTCTGCACTGGAACCACAGAATTAATGATTGATCCTGGGAAGACCGGGGACAACAGGGGGAGCCAAGCAATCTGGCTTGATTTCAGGGAATAAAGAAAAATAAAAAATAGATATGAGAATGAAAACACATTTCCCCAGATCACTGCTTACCAACTTTCCAGTTCCACCTGCAAACGTGACCCCGAATCATGTCAGGTGTGGCCTGCCAGCCCTAATTAACTTCTGATTTTCCACTGACCACAGGGTGGTGCTGTAGGTGCACACCGCCCTTATGCAGGAAAGGCTAGTTCCCCCAAATCAGTGCGGATTCTGCTACGGAGGAGGCAAATCTACTATTTGTAGGCTACTGGCCATGAGAAAAGGCCATCACCTCTCGATTTTTAAACAACCAGCTTGAAGCTGTGCATTTTACTATTAATACAGATGTGAACCTGCCAAAATCCCATGCCTCAAATCACATTTCCTCTAAAACCAGTTATTGCCAGAATGTAAACTTTAACATGTCCCATCTGTGAAGGAGACACTGCCTCTGCTGAAGGAGAGGGACAAGCACTAGACCTGCCTGTTTGGTTACTAACTCTCATGGGATGTTTCTTGGATAACAGCTTAGCAAACACTGCTTGGTGTCCTTCTAACGTGGAAGTTTGGCTTTGGATCATGCAGTGACAGGTAAAACGTGGCCTTCCTCGGACTCTTCTATCATGGCAGTGAATTGGGGACTGGCCCAGCAGAGCAGAGCTGCCCTTGCACACCCACTGCAAACCTTCCCCAGGAAGCAATGGGTGCATCCACACGGGAGTTTAGTGTGGATTAGGGAATGAAATTGAATTCATAAGCATCTCTCTACTTGCTGTGCCCTTGTTAACATCATGGAACAACCTTTCAGTGGGAAAAACAGTTTTCTTTAGGATGAAACTAAACTGGCACATGCTGTCCAAGCATGCTCAACTCACTCCAACCACTGTGCTCAGTCTGTCAGCGCAGACAAAAGCTATTTGAAGTAAAAATACCCAACACATCTCAGGTGTGAATGCTGGGTGCTAAGCACCACCAAGTCCACTCTGTGCCTTTACTCCTACCACTCTGCATGCCTTGTTACGAGAGAGGAAAGCAATGACTGCAGAGATTCCCAGCACTGCAGGGCCTGTGCTGTGAAAGCCTGAGGAACAGAAACAGCGTGGGATTTGCCTTTTCAAGCACAATTTCCAAGTACAGCAGAAATTTGTATTTTACCTCCTGAAAAATGAGATTTGTCACAAATGATTCTGCAACTGTGCAGGGAAGGAGCATTGCAAGCAGGGGATAACATAAGGAGAAGATGAGCTGTTCCTCTGCAATGTCTTTGAAGAAGCAATATAAGGCCCTCAGCTGAGAAGACAAAGCCATGGAGAAATTCCTCTCTCCAGCTTCTGCAAAAAGTAATAAACACATGGTCCAGTGCCAGCCTGCAGTCCTGTCCTGGGCAATGCTACCTGTCCCTGCAGGAGCAGTTTTGCCTGAGGAGCATTTACACCTTGGATTGCGACTGTACCTGCCACCTTGGAGTTGTACGCAACTCCCACACCGCAGATGTTGTTGTTGGCAGCAGCAGACACCTCTCCCGCACATCTTGTCCCGTGGCTGCAGAGGAGAAAACATAGACACCATGTGAGCCCAGCTAATTCGGTGGTCAACTGCATGTGCTGAATGAAGATGCATCACCCTGGTCCTGGTTTTGCCTCATTGTAGGCAGATCCCAGAGCTTCAGAGGAAAACCCTTCCATGGCAAACTGCCGAGCGCTGTACTAGGATCCTTGGATGAGCTCATTCCTTCCTGAAGCACAAATAATCAATTTCCCCTCTGCAGTACGGATGATGCTCGCTCGGAGGTTAACATGCATACTTATGCTTCATTTAGTCCTGAAGTTATTCAGCCCTTTTCTTTTTAACTCTGGGTGTCAAATTCTGTCTTCTTACCAACTATTAGGCAGCAGAAACAGCCCCTTGAAAGAACAGTGCAGAAATAAGATCAATATTAAGTCCTGTATTTTTGTGACTAGGCAGCATGACACCCACTATTTTGAGCCCCACAAAACTAGGTACAATTGCCTTTTTGCTCTTCAAATATGTATCAGGAGTATACCCTTGCCCACAACAAAATGCTATGCAAAGAGGTGGTGCAAGATCAAGCTGGAGCAGCAGAAAAGAGCCACAGGGGTCACTGCATTCCTCAGCACCAGCACTGTGGCCTGGCTGGCCAGGCCAAGGGCACCTGTACCCTCCTCTTCCAGCCCCTAATTCCCAGGAGAGCCACAGGCAGAAAAGGGGCTGCAGCTGTCAACTCGCAGACCTCCCGCTTTCAGCTCAAATGGGAAATGTTTCTGACACCGAGGTCCAGGTTCAGGCTGACATGTGGCATTTCGAGAACACTTGGTGTCTCTGAAGTGCTTTACAGCTCTTAACAGAGACCCTGAAGCTGCTGGTGGCTTTGAGGCAGGCTTGCAGGAAGGCACATTGCATTTTTCTTTCTCCTAATTCATCACAGAAATTAAACAACACAGAAGTTAAATAAAGGCAACATAATATAGTTTTAAAAAATAGCGCAGCAGCAGAGCAACTAGCAAAATCTACGCTGATGACAGTTTTTTTAAGATGTTCCATCAATATGAATCCTTCCTAGCACTCACATCCATCCCCTCTGTGCATTACAGCTGGCACTGCTCCTACAGCATGCTAAGGATTCATGCAATTAGCTGTGCTGTGTTGTAAAGGCTATACAGAGTCCCAGATGAACCATCACTGGAGGCAGCAGGATTGTTTTCTTTTAATCAGCTTTTTTCTCCCTCTCTCCCTTTAAGCACCTCTGGCAGAGGTGAGTGTAAAATTAATAAAGGGGTGAGAAGCATCACATCCTTTTCACTGCTGCACTTGGAAGAGCGTATTTTTCAAGGTAGCTCCAAGAAAAAAAAAAGGCTGGTCTCAAATGGACACAGTGTTGTGATCACGATCTCACGCAAGCTCCTTTTACAAAGGGGGGAGAGAGGTGAGTGACACAGACTTCTTATTCAGCTGCTGGAGAAATTTCTTTCAACATTCAAGCAGGTTTTCCCTCATGCCCTTGTTCAAGGAACTGTGAAAAAAAATATACGGTTGCTAGGCATTCGTTATCTAGTCACCTGTGGGCTAGCTCGAAGCCACAAAGCAGAGTAAATGGCTTTGTTAGAAAATTGGCTTAACTGAGGCTGGGGCACAAATAATAATAATAATAATAATAATAAATAAATAAATAAATAAAAATGGTGATGCTGTCAGGTGAAGTCTGTATCACAGAAGGAAAAACCGTATTAGGACTGCCAGAAGGTCCTCTTCCCTACTTCTGCTCTCCAGCGGTCCGCATGATGGAGCCTGCGAGCAGACCTGTTCCAGCAGCTCGGGGTTTAGACACCATGCTGCTGGCTGGAGGGAAAAAAAATCACATGCGAGTTACTGCAAATGCATTTAGTTGAATTATTAATGGAAAATAACAGACTTTTCAAATCTAGCCCTTTCTGCTGTTCATGTATCATTGATAAACCCATTGTGGTTTCTGTGAAGTGACCTATGTCATGGGCCCAACTCACAGCTTCTCTCTCCAATGGTCACCTCATCACCAAATTTCAATCTTTAAAACCAGGGGATAAAAATAATTAAGTCGCCTGATATTGTGGCCTCTGAGCCTTTGAGTGTTTGCACATGGGGAAGCACAGCAGGAAGGGGGCACTGCTTTGGGAACATGCCACTCCACCTGTATCCAAACACGCAAAGAACCAGAAGTAGTGCTGCGGCTCTCCACTACTCGTGTGGTAACGCTGCAGGTAGAAAGAGCTGTTATATCCCTTTATATGAATTCTCAATTATTGCGTGGTTTCCAGTGTATCGATTGAAAAACAGAGGAGGAGGGGAGCAGGTGTTTTTATACTTTTAATGAGCGCTGTCTGGAAGCCAAGGGGAGACTCAATGGGATTTTGTTTGAATCCATAATAGATAAAGGCCTTCTTTTTTCTTTAACATCTGAAGAAAACAGATTTCCAAGATAGTAAATAAATTTATGCCCAGCAAACTCTGATCTGGGTGAGAGAATATATTGAATACAGAGGCTACAGGAGTGAAAATAATTATTTGTTATTTATGTCCCAGCAGAAATTCCTAATCTCAGACCTTTGAGATGGGGAGCCCCGTGCAGGCTCGCAATGAGGAGTCAGAGGGCCGTACAGCAAGGCCGAGCTATCCCTGATGTGCACAGGTACCTCTGCACAGCACAACGTGGTCCCTGCCGAGCTCCTGAATGTTATGCAGGAGATGGTGGTGGAAGCACAGCTGCTTCCCAAAGTGGGCACCAGAAAACCACTCTGAGGCAGCTGGGGGGCTGCCTCTGCTTTTGGGAACTGGGCTTGGTTCAAGTTCCTTCACTGCCCTCACTGCTTCTTGGGCTCCAACACAGCCCTGCCTTGTGTTGCACCCAGCACTCCCCATCCCAAAATGTCATTCTCCTTGTGGGCTTGGTCCCCAAGCTGTGCTCTGAACACAGTCAAGCAGAAAGTCTGGGGAGCATGGGAATAAATACCCTTGCTGCCCAGCCATCTGCGCACCTCTGCTGGGAACAGCAGCCAAACTGCCTGCCTGCAGCTCCCTGCCTGAAGCACCAAATTGTCCCCTTCCAAAACCCACCCTGCTTGATTTCACAGGCCAGTGGCTCCTAGATATAGAGGCCAGAGTGCTTCCAGCAGCCTTAAAAAGCACCAACTGGAAACGGAATCTGTACTTAGGAGCAGAGCAGCTGTGATTAATGAAATACTCGATGCAAAAACCTCTCCCTTTTTTCTTAAAGTCTAATGATACTTGGCACATGCAGCTGGCAGCTTACAAAAGCCCCTTGGTTCATCGTTTTTAAAAACAGTCCTCTGCTTCTTGTTCCACAAATCACTTGAATTGCTTACACAGAAACATGTTCTTTATGGAAAAAGGAATACCACGCTATCCTATTTTGAGTGTGATCCTCCTGCATGCATAAAATTCAATGGGAGATGCGTAACTTACTGCAAACTGAGCAAAATGGAGCCTTTATTGGCTTCTTTGAATGGCAGTCCTGTATAACTACTGTCTATCCAGATGCACCTGTGCAGTTACACATATGACACAGTCAGACCATCACAGGCAGACGGTTGTAACCTCCCAGTAATAACAATTCAGGAGTCACAAGTCATGACAATAGCTTATAGATGGGCACATCAGTTTAACTGACAATACAGCATAGGAATCTGCAGAGAAAAACAGCCACAACTACTCCTGAACAACTGGACACAGTGTGTTGGTTCTTGTCTTAGTCTGGGCAAAAGGTGACATCTCACTTCTTGAAGACTTCCTGAATTGTGCAGGCAAGGAATGGACTTGACATTGAAATAGTTTCAGCTCCCTGTCTGCTCAAGAAAAGAAACAGAAAGAGATATTGCAGTTCTGAAAACCTGAATCACGCTGTTCTCAATAATTATAGATTGAGTCACAGGCAACTGTGCTGCTTACTCTTGGTTCTTCACTCGAGTGCCTGAGGTTAGGCAGAGGAATCTGGGGTGAGAGATCATAAGCCTTGTCGTTTCCAGGATACTCCAGGCCTGTTTAAGAGACTTTAGGAGGTAACTCTGTCTGCAGTGCCACCTTGCCGAACATGTGAGGACCGCAAACTGCGCCCTGCTATAAAATATTTGATTGCAGCACAACTGGTGTTAATGGTGCTTGGCAGAACACACTTAGTTTTATGAAGTTCCACACTGAAAATGACACAATCTACCATTACCCACTAAAGCTAAATTTAATTTTCCTCTGTACTGCTCCAGAGCTAAGTGATATCTTTCTCCTACAAAGATCCTTTGCATAAATAAAGCAAGAAAGCTAGCAGACCTTCACAAATTAGAGCCCTAGTCTTTCTCTGGCTTTCCATTCACTAATTGGATTCATGCTAGTTTAAAAGTGTCAGATGTCCTTTCCTAAAATGAAGGAGAAATATCACTGGCATCTTGCTTTTGCTGAAAAATGGCAGGACTATAAACGAGGGCATCACAGCTCCTAAATCTGTTTGATCCATTCCAGGAAGCCTGTGTCTGAGGTGGAAGCACAGCTGCTCCACATCTTTGTTGTGCCACCCTGACTGACGTAAAATTGATTTCTTTAGAAACAGAAACAAACAACAACAAAACAATCTACATCCAAAACTCAAGAGGCCATTCATGCAGCCACACTAAGTTAGAGATGAAAACAAGTTCAAATAGCTCCAATGTATTTCTACAAACACTATGAGCCCTGAAAATCTTAAAATACTCCAGCTTCTCAGAGCTGCTGCTATATAAATGCTGAAGGCGTTAATTATACTCAAATCTAGACAACATTTGGAAACTTCCTTGAAAATACCCAGAAACAAGTTTTGCAAATCGAAGCCAGAACCTGTCCGACACCCTGGTGAGTATGCTGAAGAGCCAGAGATGCTGGAAGATGAGATCGCCAGGTACTAAACGCACCTTATAGGTGCGCCTTGGACTCTGCACCCTTGACTATGTTAACATCTTGCTAGGAGCAGTTTGCCTGGCAGAAAGGGCATTGTATGGTATGGATGCAGAAGCCAGGGATTTTTTTATTTTATTTTATTTTATTTTATTTTATTTTATTTTATTTTATTTTATTTTATTTTATTTTATTTTATTTTATTTTATTTTATTTTAAGTACTGTCAACATGTTTCTGTTCTACTTTAATCAAAAATGTGTTTGGGGAAACCAAACAGTTATGTTTCCTAAAATCTGGAGCCTTTTCTTTTGGGCCATTCGCATTTATACCATACCTTTAAGGACCAGACAATCACGGGTTAGAAAGTGGTTAGGTTCAGAACATACTGATGGGAAAGTGGAACTTGGACAATCACGCTGTGATAGGGAGAAACACCACAACAAACACAGTTGCACTGTTGATTCCAGGCTTAAAACCCAACAGAACAGGTTCCCAGTCAGTGGTGCATGGACTTTAATTCCTCCAGCCATCTGAAATATCTCAGAATCAAACTCTGAAATGCTATCCACATACACTGTCCTTAAATCATAGTCAAAGGATAGATGATTCAGAACTTCTGTAAGATGTATTTTTTTTTCCAAGCTGGTTATTTTACACCATGCAGCTCTTCAGCACTCTTAGTTTACAATCAAGTGAAAAAGCTGCTCCGTCCCCCAGAGTCTTTTCCTGTCTGAACCCAGCTGCACAAAATTCCTCCTTGCAGCTTATTATCTTTAAAATTAAATAGTGGTCATACTATATCAGGTGCAATAGATGGGAAACCCATCAAGACTGCATTAAACTTACAGAGCTGGGTTATCATAAAGTCACAGACTAGCTGGCAGAAAACTGTATGTGTCTGTCACCCGTACAGACAATGTAAATATATACTCTTCTGAAGCATCAGCTTCATCTAAAAACACAATAAACCATTTATAAACTGCTTATGAACCACTGTTCAGCATTATCTAAAAAATGAAGTTAGAAGTAACCTCTCATTTTTAAGCTGTAATGAGATTGAAGCTTCTGTTTTGGCAACCACAGAATTTAGAAGAAAACAGACATTCCACAAATATCAGCAAATACTGATCATTTCCTCTGCCAACTGCAGTGAATGGCAGGTCAATTGGAAGCCATTTACCTGTTAAACCAGTCATCTGTGTAGCGGGGGTAAGGGTAGGGATCATTACTGCTGAAGTCGTAGCTGGCTTGGGCATTCTGCAAAACACAAAGACATTCAGTGAGTTATCAGAAAAGCAGATGTGCAGGGTAAAGTGGGACAGGTTGTAGGGGCTGGGAGTCATCAGTAATCTTTGTCATCTTCATTCTCAGATGCATTTTGGATGCTGGTCCCTGTAGTGCTGCACATTTCTCATACCAGAACGCCTGGGGAAAGATGCTTTTTGGGGTGCAAAACCTCCATTAGTATTGCCCTACCAGGGTGGCTTAGTGTGATGTGCTGTGAGCGCTCAGGCTACTTCTGACACACTGCAGGCCACAGCTCTTCTGGTCTGCTCCCTTAGCACTGGGGATCCTAAATAGCTATTTTCCAAAGACAGATTCCAAACCGAAAACCTCACACCATAAGCAGTGATGTCCAACTGACAGTAATACCTTAGTCAATATATCCACAGAAAACTTTGTTAGGTGGTTTGTATTTTAATTTTCCCCCCCTTGGAAAGAAAATGTCATCCTTTCTCTGATCCCATCCAAGATTTAGCGAGAGCCCTGCATAGTTACATCTCAGCACCAGCTCAAACATGGGACACCATTTCCAAAAGTACTTTATCTACCAGGATCTTAAGTACAGCTTCAGGTTAATTTGACTACCTCGCCAATATCTACATCCATATTTAAGTGTTGGGTTACTCAGTGTGGCAGGAAAAACATTAAATCCTATTTTTCAAATGGCAATGGAAATTACCAGACACTTGGGATCTTCCTTCCTATAATTATCTTTTAAAAATTAATTTGCATTACTAAGAAAAACAGTTTTGTACAATCATTTCAATGTCTTAGAACAAATTTCTCAGAATTCAAGCATGAAAACTATATTAATGGTCAGCACATACATCTGAGAATCCCATTTATGTATTTTCTTGATCCTTCAGTTGCTTGAATAGATTCACAAATGCGGCTTGCAGGCCCTTCTGAAAGTGCCATCCCATGCCTCTCCTTTCCATATAATCTAAACCATTCATGATTTTGCCCCATCAGCAGCATAAAGGACACTCAGCAACTTTTTGATGCTATATTTGAGAACCAAGTGGAAAGTTTCAGAAAGTCAAGTGCCATCTTCTTTCTTCTCTCTCAATGAAAACACATAAATAAAGGGTGACTGGAAATTAAGCTTTTAAAAATATTTAGAAGCTTCCTCTCAAGTGTGTGATCACACAGTTTATATTTTAATAAACACCATAGTCAAGGAACAGAATTATGTTAATTCTTAATTAATGTGTACGTACATTCTTTGTAAGATTTGGCTGAGCATGCTATTGAAGATAATTTGAGACTCGTGTATGAATAGCTTTGCTCCCAAAAACATTCCCCTTCAGCAAATTATCAGTTTCAGGGGTACAGGAATAGGCAGTCCGTTGGTAGCACCAAAGTCTTGGGATTTTAGATTCAATAAACCCAGCTCCCAAAAACTCTTCTGCCAGAACAAAACAGAGACAACGCTGTCCTTGTTCCTTGGAGGGTATAACTAAGTATCCAGTCACTGCACAATGTTTTTTTGGGTCATTTTTTTTTGCAGATTTTTTGGGGTCATTTTTTTGCAGAATGTCAATCACGCGGTTTGATGCTGTTCTCCTGCTCAGATATAGCTGAATCGCCTTGTGAGTATCTTTACTGATCTCTCAGTATCTCTAAACTAGGGTCCTGATTTTCAGCCTATAGCTGAAATTATTAGAAGGCATCTTAAGGCACAGATTCTTAGTGGTTTTGAGTCTCTGTGCTCAGGTGTATGTTTAATTTACCTCTTTTAATTTGCTCAATTCCTTATACAGCAATTGAAAGGCATGGATTTGTATGACTGAAGAGTAAACAGAACATGACTTTTCAGCCAGGGAAAGAAGGGGAAATTGACAGTGATCTATAAATCAGGAATAGCACAGAGAAGGTGGACAGGGAGTTATTGAGTACTCCTCATAATGTGAGAACTAGCGGGAATCCACAGAAATTACCAGAGGGAAGATTTAGAAGCAGCAGAAAACAGCAAGAAGTACTTTTCCACAGAACATGTAATGAGTTACAAAATTCATTGGCCCCCAGCAACACAGAGGTCAAAACCCTGGGGAAAAAAGAAAAAAAAAAAAGAAAAAAAAAAGAAAAAAGGAAAAAAAAAAAAAGAGCTTAAGACAAATTAATGGAAGATAAATCTTAATAAATGGAAGATAAATGGAAAGGGTATTAGCTGCTGTGCTTCCTCGATTTCCAACAGTCCCCAAAACAACAGATGCTGGAAGCCAGGAGGCCACAACCTGGAATGACACAGCCTCTGATCTGGTGACCGAGCTGCTCCCCCAGCAGCCCCTCTTGGCTGTTGTTGGTCCTTGGCTAAATGGCTCTGGGCCTCTCGCATTGCCCCCGTACGTGCCATGTCCTGTTGTACAGCAGGGCTGTGCTCTCCGGTGTCACAGAAGCTAAGGTACTGCAGCTGGTGCTAACTGTGAGCATGAAGGGAATGTCACCAGCAGCAGCTCACCTGGCTGGAAGTAGTCTAAAGCTTTTGGGGGTCACTGTGGCAACCAGAACCAAGTCACTTCACCTTTCTGTTCCTTTTTCCCAGCTTTCAAAGCACTCCCAGGTACTTGCATTAAGTGTAACCTGTATTCCTGTAACTACAGCTCATAATAAAGCATGGTGCTGGGGGCACAGCTTACACTGGGGTGCAGTAAATATTGCTACAGTGACAGACAGCAGATAGAGGCATCTGACCTTGTGCTAAAGAACAGTGCTTGCTAATCAGATGCTGCAGCCCAAGACAGGCAGAAGCAATGTAAGAAGTAATAGATAACTTGGGCTGACTACTTCCCCTTTGTGTAGTTGCAAAAGGCTGTTTCTGCCATAGTGGGAATTTCAGGAGTAACACCAACTCTTTTGTGGGGTATGACAAGTCACACAGAAGACAGGGGATGTGCCGCAAGTGGTGGCCTGTGTGACAATGGCCTTGTGGCACAAACGTCCCCTGCCAAAGCAACAGAAGGGGTTTGCAATCTGCAGTGTCCCAGGGAGCTGTGACAAGGATTTGTGCAAGGACCAAGGTTTCATCCAACACCTGGCAGTAAAAAGAAATGAACATCAGTAAAAGGAAATGAGCTTGTCAATGGAAGATCCTGTCCTGTTCTTTATTAACAAGCGCAGCATCTACTCCTAGCAGGACAGGCTGGAAAAATACCTCCGAGGGTAAAGTCAAAACAGAAACAATTACTCTTTCGGGGTAATTTAATTAGAAGATAAAACCTACTCTGTCACAGAGTCTAGTCTAGGGTTGGCAACTTTTGGAGAGAAATGAATTTCAATCACAAATTAAATAAACTTTTTATATTACTGCCTTGGACTAGATGTGTCCTGGAAACTGTGCAGATTGCAGATAACTGAGCTTAGTTCCAGGGATTTGAGATCTTTTTCGCATGGGTATAACTGGGTACTAAATGTAATTCCATCAGTATATTGCCAGCTCCTTACTCTGTTTTCACTCTAGAAGTATTGTATGGACGAGAAATTAAACTCAGTTGTGGGATATTTTCCCTCCCTCATCTGGAAGGAATGTGGTCCTACTCACACAGGCCCTAAGTTCAAAGAAGGGCTGGCGAGGCTGATTTTTCAGGAATACATCAGACACAAAAGCACCCTGTGGAAGCTATCAACCACTCCTGACCCTGTAATTCCCCTGTGCAGAGAATTATGGACTCAAAATCCCTTCTAACTGTGCAGATATATCACTTGTGTCCAGAGTAGTGAGAGGCAAATGGATTCCGTGAGTGATTCACTAGCCTGGAGCTCTGCTCTACGGCCCATGTAGCCACCTGTCAGACTATGGAAAGGTTGCTTTTGGCAGGCTAAAAACAAACTTGTGCAACACAAATCCTGCAGTTCTTATTCACTTGATTTTAGATCACTGCAATCAGAGGAAAAAATATCCAGTGTAGAAGGAACCATCCACAAAGTGCAAAATTAAGAGGAATCCTTGGAAAGAAAACAACTGCTGACTGCAAGATTTACCTTCATTAGGGTCTTTGAGAAAAGGCAGCAAGTTTCAGCTTCATGAACGAATATTCCGCCCACACTATGAAAGTAGTAGAACTGGTAATGAAACAGCAGTGACAAGTACAAATGGACTGTTTCAAGTTCCTAATTTAAAAGATCAAACCCCCAAGTATCTAAGCGAGAACCCAATTTGTTGTTTTTTTTCCTTCTTCCTCCCCCATCCTCCAGTGCAACACTGGATTGAAAAAGGAACTGCCTCAGTCACAGCCAAAGTGTTTCATCTTGTGTTTTGGGAAGTGAATATTAAAATCTGTCATCTGCCATTCTCTTCCAAAGGCTGGAATTCCCAGCAGGCAGCTAGGGGCAGTTCATTGCCAAATCAGAGATGAGGTAGCAACCAAAAACAGTGCAAATGAGGATCTGCAGCAGCACAGTGAAATTAAAACATTTTGCCTTTCAACTCAAGTGATTCAGTTTTATAGTTTTAATGCCAAACCAGCATGACAGCAGGTATTTCTCTTAGGCTTGAAGTGTCTAGTATTTAGTTATCAATATCGATGGCAGTTGCTCAGTTGTTTTTTTCTACCATCAATGGAGACAATCAGCTCCAGGAAACAAGTCCATGCTGTCAGTCTTTGTCACGGAAAATAGACTTGGGCATAGCGTTAGAATGTGATCAGTCCTATCCCTTGTGTTCAGTCAAAACCAGTTACTTGCTGCGAAGAGAAACTGATGCTTATCTGTCACCAAAATTATATATAAACAATGACTATTATATAATAGAAATGGCTGTTTTGCCAAAGAGAGGTATTATCTTCTGTTTTAAGGCGTATCTCTTCTTTTGCTTTCTAGCTTTCTGCATCTCTATCCCCAATAAGATGCTAACAAATAAAGAACTGGATCAGATGATGAGATTCTTTCAACTGATTACTAAGTAATGCTTCATGTACCATGATACAAATAGATTACTTTTGCCTATGTATAAAATTCTGCTTTCCTTTTAAATA